AAATTTAAATAGTATAATGCGTGCAAAAATAAAAGAATGACATGTGAATGTCTTTGTATGATACACTTCACACTTGAATTTGCCAGTGAAGTCATGAACTAAAGTATCTAGAAACGCAAGTTGGTGATCTTCGTCTAAAAACACTTTGTGAAAGTGAGAAAGACTTGTTCAACATCTTGCTTAAAGATTGTAAAAGTAGTATTTACATATCTTTGAAAATAAAACAGTTTCAAAACCATCAGTCATTCATTTACCTGCTGTTTTTCACAACAACAAAAGAGTAGCCAAAAATGGAGCTAGTATCAAGCACATAGCTTTTGAAGGATGTATATAAAATATTTATGAACAAAAAATGGAATTCCAAGGTAGAAAAATTCACCAGTTTTAAAAGCATAAGTTTAAAAATTCTCATATTTTTTCAAAACATATTAAATATCAGTAAATGTTTCCAAAATAACTAAAACACCCTTTAAAGCATGATTATAAATGCGAATATCTGAAATAATGGGTTTGAGTGGCCATCTTAGGAAGTTCGTTAGAAATTTCCCATAATGACTCTCTGATCCCTTATATTTAAATATTCTGTTTGAGTTAATAAATTGCACTTTTTTATTTCAACAGAAATCTTTATTTAGTTTCTGTAATTTGAGTAGAATCCTTATTTTGTTTGACATGTTTAGATGTATCAATGAGATATTCTCAGCTTTTATTGAAATAATTTGATTTATACAATATTTCTTTTATTCGATTTGATGATTACATTATCTTCATTTTACTAAGAGTCTTAGACGTTTGTATCTCTTATTTGCCAAATGCCTTGAACTATAAATATTAAACGAAGTCCAAATCATTCTATCTACGTGAGTTCCAATAATACGAAAAGATTCATGTTTATTGATTCTGCATCATATAAGCTGTTTTTATAACTGCTGGAAAAAGTGATCCAATCTTTAAAAATAATTTTAAAACTTTAATTTGTTATACATATTAAATTCTAATATTGCAGACAAAACTTTTTTTTTCAATTTCACTCATTCTACATGTGAAATAACTAAATATTAGAGGTGTAGGATGTTCTGTGATTAATTTTTTTATTTGATGCCATCTTAGTTGATTTAATTTAGAAAATGTGTCTCAGTACGTCAGAAGTAAGTTTGCGGACTTACAGCGCTAAAGACCGAGGTTAAATTCCCCACAGTTGACAGAGCGCAGTTAGTCCATTGTGTAGCATTGCGCTAAAACAAATGTTTTTCTACATTGAACTAAAATTATATTTTCAGTAGGCTCTGTTCTTTGATATCAAAACGTAACTTGAGAGTTCGTAATCTGTTCATTCAATCAAATTGTATTTTTTTACAATCTAAACCTAGTAACTGTATGGAAATCCATTTGTTTTACATGTGCTTTGTAAATAATTTATATCTTGGTTTTAAAATAGAAAACAAACTGCAATGCTGTGCGAAGTGGAAGTGGATCATGCAAATGAAAGATAAAATGTTGGGAAGATGTGACACTCCGAGCAATCTTAAAAACAAAAACCTAAAAGACGTCAACGAAGAAACTTTACTGGCAATTGAATGTACTAAAATTGATTAAAATTATAACGATTATATTTTAAACAGAGGTCATTAGTACAGAGTAGTATCAATTCAGATTTTTTGTTCAAATTATGATATCATCTATATTCATATTACAGACCATATAGGTGTCAATTTAAAAAATTTTGTTTCACTAGTCTCTGTTTTGACTTTTTATTTCTTGTAAAAAGTAGAAAACAACTTCCATTGCTTATCATTCTTGATTAATTTTATCTAAGCATTAACATAAATAAATGACGATGATAACGATTATATCTTAAATTGAGATAATTAATATAGAGTAGTCTCTATCATGTTTATTAATTGAACTTTGTTGTCCGAATTATATCATTCATATTTTATATTACAGATGGTATAAGTCTCAATTTAAAACTTATGTTCAAACAGTTTGTCTATTTTTTCTGTCACTCTGAGAAATTCTCTTAAGAAAATATTGCTAAGATTCTATGTGAATAATAATTTTAATTGGATTAAAAGTTATACGTGTGAAACACCAACCCGTTTCCTCATTAAACCAAAGTCTCGATTTTGAAATAAAGTTTCAACTATACAAAAACCTATAAAGTCGGACATAGATCATTTATTACTTATTCTGAAAAGTTATTCAGTTGACTCTGAGAATAGATCCATGTTTGTGTAAGAAAACCGTTATAATTAGGGCTCACACAAATATTTTTTTATGTAGTTTAATGTTGATGCATTTGTTCAGTTTTTTATTTTATTAATTTCTTTTCTTTTGCCCCCAGTGGCACAGCAGTTTGTCTTATGACTTACAACGTTAGAAACCGGGTTTCGATACCCGTGGTGGGCAGAGCACAGATAGCTCTTTGTGTAGCTTTGTGCTTAAGTTCAAACAAACAAACAAAATTTATATTGTTTTTAATATTTATCGAAGTGATTTGATTATATTTTAACCTTTTCCTTTTTAAATAAGTTTAATTTATGTGTAAAGACTCTTTTACTCAGATTATTCTGTCATTAACTTTGATATGAAGGACGTTAGGTATTACAGAAATATGATTACTACAACACGAGTTGGTGTATAGCTTGAGATATGAAAAATAATTTAAATAATCTAAATCAGCATATTCTGAAGAAATAGCATATTTTTTTAATTTATCAGTAGCAAGAAAAGTGAATAAAATGTATTCTATTTTACATTGTGGTATTAGAGACTGTCATCAACTCTGGTTAAAATAGCTATTGAAAAATCAGTCTGGAGATGCAATTCTTACATTATTTTTCTACTTCTTTACTGTCCACGACTTACACTAAAGACTAAGTTTATTTATTTAACACAAATATATGAGAGTATAAATAAATAAAAAACTTGTGTCACTAAGATAAGTTATTAGATAAGAATCATTGTAGAATTTTTTTCGGGTTTTGTTCTTTTAAGTTTTGAATTCCCTTAGGAATAAAGAAATGGCGGTGTTTAACATAATCTTTTACACGAATAGGCCGATAAGTAATAAGAAAACATTCTGTTATCAGGACTTGAATCCAAAACTCTGCTGCTAAAGTTAGTGTTCTACCAAGTCCCCACCCCTCACTGTTCACCCTTAGGGCTTCTTACTATGACTACAATCACCATACTACGTTATGATCAAGCAGTTAGTGGGCTCATTTACTATCACTCAAGCAAATGATACTATTACATAACGGGACAATTGTACTTTTGGATAAAATGGCGGTTTGAGTACTAGCTTTATTATCCACATGTTCAGGATTTAAGTTCTGCTGTAATTTTTCTTTTCTCTTATCGGCTTTGTTATGTGAAAGTTCGTGTAAAAATTTTGTTCGTTTTACCTTTTCTTTAGAGAACTATATTATACCCTTTTTAAGTATTTCTACTTCCTATACTTCTTAGACAGCTGTCGTATCCCAAGTGATGAAAGTGAATGTAATCAAGTGCTACGTAAAATACATGTACAATTTATAAGTTGAATGTTCATTATTTTTGGATATAGAAGGTTAGAACTAGAAAATGATCTTTCAGAAACACATAAAATGATTAAAATAATTTAAACTTGTATTATAAAACAGTTTTGTGAGCAATGTTTTAATATTTTAATTTGGACGTCGTATCGTTTGCAAGAAAGAGTTGTGTTAATCTTGTTTAGTAAGTGGCCTAGTTAGACAGTAAGTTAATTAGTTGGTTAGTCTGTTACTGTGCTATCATTCGATTACTGAGTTAGAGAGTGCTAGTAATTCATATCTGAGCTTGTGCCGTAAGAATAAGATGAAATTTAATAAGTAAGTGACTGACTGTTTTGTAGTTAGGCCTATTGATTACTGAACTTGTAGAACTTATGGAAGAAGAAATAAAATGCTTTCCTTTTCATTCAGTGTACTGTACTTTTGTTATTTTAGCGAAGAATGAAAAACAACCCTCAGCACAGGCTCAGCTGAATTGTGTTGAAAGTTTATATGATTTTATACTTCTAACAATCTCTATTCAATTTTAGCTACTTTTAAAAGGTATGTAATCTTTACGTGGGATGTCTGTGTTTCCCAATTTAAACCGAAAAAATATAGCAGCATAC